GCTCAAGTGGCTAAGGCACCAGCCACATACACCTAAGGTGGCGGGTTTGAATCCAGTCCAGGCCCGCCAAAAACAACAATGACAGCTGCAACCAAAAAATATCCAGGCGTTGTGGTGGGCACCTGTGGTCCCAGCTACTTGGGAGGCTAAGGCAGGAGACTCACTTGAGCCCAGGGGTTGGAGGTTGCTGTGAGCTGTGATGCCATAGCACTCTACCCGGGGGATAGCTTGAGGCTCTGTCTCAAAAAAAAAAAAAACCCACATGTTCAAAATTCTCTGAAAATAAACCCAGTTGACAAAAACATGAAAGACATGCTGCCTTTACCCTTCCATTAGATAATAATTAGCATGAACCATCCTCGCCCCAGAACATTGCCACTTACACTCAGCGCGTGGCTCCTCAGGTGCTCCTGTCGCGTGAACCTCTTGCCGCAGGTCTCACAGGGGTAGGGCCGCTCGCCTGTGTGGGAGCGGATGTGCCGCTTGAGGATGCCCTTCTGTTTGGCGGTGTACGGACAGAAAGGACACCTATGGAGCTTGATGGGGACCACCAGCACGTCACCTGAGGAACCAAATGCATTGATTTAGCTGTACTTAAGCAGTGGCAAGCCTGGCCATCTTCCAATGGATGAGCCCTGCCAGCTCTGCCAGCCCAGATGGAGAAGGAGGACACCAACTCCACCTGCAGCCAACAGTGAGACATCGTCTGCGCATCCGACTCTGTCTGGTTCCCAATCAGCTGGAGGGTAACGTGGGCTTCTGATATATGTTTGCAAGCACTGCCATAGGCACCAGCTTTCACACTTCTCTGACTCATCGTTAGAAACACAGATCATGTTACAACTTCAGAACACGCGACTTTCATGTGAGTAACTGGAGAAGCTTCCCACAAACTCACTGATAGTGTCTACTCTATTTCAAGATGACGCTGAGTGAGTCCCTGTTACAAATTGCATTGTGTCCCCTGCCACCAGTAAATTTATACCTGAAGCCCTCAGCCCCAAAGTGACTGCATTTGGAGATTAAGGCCTTTAAGAAGGTAATTAAGGTTAAATGAGGTCATCAGGTGGGGCTTATATCAAAAAAGAGGAAACGATACCAGAGATCAACTAATCTCTCCTTGCCTCTCTCTCTCTTTCTTCTCCTGCACTCTCACCCCTAGTGCATGCACAGAGGGAAAGGCTATGTGAAGACAGAGGGAAGGCTGCCTTCTGCAAACTAGGAGGAGAGGGCTCACCAGACACCAAGCTGCCAGAGCCTCCTGCTTTTCTCACACCCTTCATCCAAGCCTTTAGCAAATCAGGCTGGCTCCAGTTTTGAGACATAGCATAGTCCTAACTCAACCACAGCTCATCAGTCTACTGTGACCACACAGACTTAGGGAGCACAGCTCTCACCTGGATCATACAATCCCCACCAAGGGGTCCTCTGCTTTCATCCTTACTCCCCTATGGCCTACTCTCCATGCAGTACCCAAAGGCTTTCTTTAAATATAAACCATTTCAAATCACTCTCTGCTGAGACCTTCCAGTGGCTTCTCATCTCAGACTAATACCCAAAGACCCACAGCCTCAGGGCTCCACCCAGCCTGGCCTCACCCACCCTACTGAACCTCATCCCCTAACTCTCTCTGCTCAGTCCACTCTGGCCACACCAGTATCCTCACTGTTCCCTCTGTTTCCTCACAAGCACCAGCTTTGCTCTTCCTTCTGCCTGGAATGTTCTTCTCCCTGGTATGTGTAACAATTTGCTCTCTCACTCCCTTGAGGGGTCTGCTTAAAGGCAACCTGTTAGAAATGTCTTCCCTGGGGTGGCGCCTGTGGCTCAGTGGGTAGGGTGCCAGCCCCATATACCAAGGGTGGCGGGTTCGAACCCGACCCTGGCCAAACTGCAACAAAAAATAGATGGATGTTGTGGTGGGCACCTGTAGTCTCAGCTACTCGAGAGGTGGAGGCAACTCCTAAGCCCAGGAGTTGGAGGTTGCTGTGAGCTATGATGCCACAGCACTCTACTGAGGGCAATAAAGTGAGACTCAGTCTTTAAAAAAAAAAAGAAGAAGAAGAAAAGAAATGTCTCCCCTGTCAATACCAAATAAAATACCATTGCCTTAATCTATCGACCTTTCCCTGCTTTAGTTTCTCTTTCTTCCTTTTTTTTGTTTTCTACCCTGTTCCCCCAGGTTAGAGTGCCATAGTATCACAGCTCATAGCAATCTCAAACTCCTGCCAGAGCCTCCGAAGAAGCTGGGAATATAGGTCTCTGCCACAATGCCCAGTTAGTTTTTCTATTTTTAGTAGCGATGAGGGTCTCACTCTTGCTTAGGCTGGTCTCAAACTCCTGAGCTCAAGAGATCCACCTACCTTGGGCCCAAGAGTGCTAGGATTACAGGACTGAGCCACTATGCCTGGCTCCCTGCTCTAGTTTTTCAAACTTAAGACTTATTACCATCTGACATTCTATATATTTGTTTATAGTCTGTCTCCTTATACTAGAATGTCACTACTATGAGGACATGGACTGTCTTTTGTCCACTGTGTTTAACAGTGCCTGACATATGTTAAGTGTTCAATTAATACCCGTTAAATGGCTAGGCGCCTATAGCTCACCCGGCTAAGGCGCCAGCCACGTACACCTAAGGTGGCGGGTTCGAATCCCCAGCCCGGACC